AAGAATCATGTCATTATAGAAAGTTCATAATCAATTGCATGAGCCAATAGGCTACCTTCTGCAAATAAGGTTTCTAGGGCCCCAAACTACTAAGTGGTATTATGGGATGAACGGTGCCCTTCCTGAAGTCCTGACCCCGGTGCTTTAGTCTGTGGCTGGCTGTGAGTCTTCATAAAAGTAACTAAGTTAAAATGAGGTCTTCAGAGTTAGCTCTAATTCAGTATGACCAGAGTCCCTAGAGAAAGAAGACCTTTGTATATGAACAGGCACAGAATAAAAACCCAGACACACAGGGACAAGACACCTATCTATATGAGCCAAGGAGGGACCCCAGGACAGACCATCTCTCAGCTGTAAGAAATGGTGTCATGGTATCCTGGCTTTCGCCTTCCAGTCAAAGAGGGCAATAATTACTCCTATGTAATGCACCACCTAAGGCGCACTGTCATAGAAACCTGGCAGCCTTCCTGGTGGCTTGTCTAATATTGTTTAGTGATGCAAGTCAAAGACACGGTCAAGATGCAGAATTGCAGACTCCAAACCCACTCTCTATGGGTTCCTTTACTAGCAGTTGACCTCTCATTTGCATGGGAAGTTCTTGGCCTCAGAAACATTGGACTCGCTTTCACATTTGCCATTAATTTCCTCTGCCCTCTCTCCTGCTGCCTTCAGGTGCCATGGCCTCAGGTGCCATGGCCATGCGTTTTACACTTTATGTCTCCCAGAGTATAGACCCAAATAAATCTCTGTTTTAAATTCAACAGAATAAAGATCCTATGATTTTAAGGGCCTTATTAAATATGTTTCTATTCAACTCCTAAGCACTCCATCTCCACATTATTGGGTATTTTCATAAATATCTCATGAACTCAGAGCTCAACAAGCACAAACCAAACAATCCCTGCCTACTGTCACATGACCAGCCACTAATTGAAACCACCTCGTGAAAATCATCCCCGCCCCTTGCACCGAGCAAAGGCACTGAGTTTCCACCTCCACACATTTTCTGGGCCGACCCAGACAGCAACTTCTCCATCTTGTCTCCGTAGTTTATCATCTGATTTCTAGCTCCAGGTACAACCCACATCTTAGCACACTTCACTAGTGGAGAACCTTTCTGAGAATTCACAATGCTTCAGAAATGATTTGGCACTTGTATGACATGGTGTGTTATTCTTTGACTTATTATTTCAATCTTCTGCCTGCCACCGGGATGACAGATTCCTCAAGAGCACCGTCTGCATTCAATGCTCCATCTTATTTACTGACTCTAGCTCAATGATGCTCTGTAAGTCATCCAATAGCTGTTACAGGGAGGGTGGCAGGCAAGGTCACCAACCTCATTAAAATTCTACATATGAACCGAGGGGGAGGGAGAACATTTCACATCCCAGTAAGAACGGTAATGGAAATGAATAGGGATACTGGCGTGTGGTGAACTGAATAAAGACGGTAAGATATTAACTAGCTGCTATTTCAGTCAGGATGGCTACAGGAAATTTCTCTGAGAAAGGAACATAGGAGTTTACAGCTGGCACCTCAAAGCAGCCAATGAAGAGCTAGACAGTGGCAGAGTGTATGTGAGGGCCCGGAAACGGGACCCTGTGGGATGATTGAAAGAAAAAAGCAGCCTGACTACCAGGTAAAGGTTTTTAAAAAGGGGGCACTAATCAAACGGGTTACAATGTTAGATTTTAATAATTACAAAGTAAAGAAGAAACAATAAGGATGACAAAGAAGGAGAGAGTATAATGTAAAAGTTACTGCAGCAATCAAAGGAAGAACTGAGGATTCCTGGGGTACAGTGAGGAAACTATATCAGCTGTGGACTGACATAAGCAACCTTTCAGAGATGTAACCAATATAATGCATTTGACTAATTTGGGTATGCAGTGCTGGACTTTGCTGTTACTTGTGTAAGGAGAATAGTGCATGGGATGTGTTGGACCATAACATTATATTTAGATATAAGTTTTAGGCAAGTTGTTATACCAACCTTACTTGGTGGTAATAGCTTATTCTTTGCTTTTCTTCTTTCTTTTTTTTGTTTTTTGTTGTTTTGTTTTGTTTTTCAAGACAGAGTTTCTCAGTGTAACAGCTCTGGCTGTCCTGGAACTAGCTCTATAGGCTAGGCTGATCTCAAACTCACAGAGATCCACCTGCCTCTGCCTCCCAGGTCCTGGGATTAAAGGTATACACCACCAACATCCGGTGATACCTTATCCTTCTTAGAGGTTGTTGAATTCAAGGAGAATTCCCAAGTAGGCAAATAGATGTATGAAATGGGCACAAAGACAAGGTCTTAATTAGATAAATACATGTATGGAAGCCAAAAGCTTATACATGCTTTTTAAACTTAGGAAATAAACGAAATTACCCAGGAATGGGTGTGTATTAGAGGAAAGACAGCTTTTTTTCTCTTAGGTCCTACAAACCTAAAAGGCATCACAAAGCAAAAAGAAAAACCAACTTTCCTGGAGTCTCTGATGTTGCAGAAAAGATGTTTCAACCATGAGCAATCTGCTAAGAGATTGGACAAAAACAAACCTTTATGGTTTTATAATGAAAAAAATTGGTACATAATAAAGAGGAAATGGGTACATTTTCTAAAGGTATCAGCTAAACTGTAACGAAAAAAGTCAAACGGAATGAAGGGAAGAATGAGATGAGAAAACAGAAGGACAAGAGTGTGCTGGCTAATTTTATGACAACCTGACATTAGCTAGAATCATTATGGAAAAGGGATCCTCAACTGGCAAAAATGCCCCTACCTAATTGGTCTTCAGGCAAGTCTGTGGTACATTTGATTGACTGATTGACTGATTGACTGATTGATTGATTGATTGATTACTGAGGAGGAAGGGCCAAGACCCCGGGCAGGTGGTCGAGGGCTGTAAAAGCAAATCAGGCAGCCATGAGGAGCCAGTAAAGAGCACCAGCGATTGCTTCCACATTCGTGCTTGCTGGAGAGCCATGCCTCACCTCCTCAAGCGGTGAACTGTATGATATGGAAGTGTGAGGAATAATACCTGTCCTCCCCACATTGTCTTGGCCATAGTGTTTTATCAAAGCGATACCAACTCTAATTAGGACGAAGAGGAAGAAGAGAGGGAGCTTGAAGAGGAGAAGGGAAAAGCACACCACCATCACCAAATGACAAACGAACCAGATAATGACAGAGTGCATTTAATCTGTCAATACCTTCACAAAACTAGGTAGCAAAACACTGACACATCATTTGTATCAGCAGCAGATGTAGCTTTGGTCCCTTTGATGGGAAAATAAACTGAGAGGCCTTAGGTAAAGATAATTTGCATTTTTAAAATTATTTCTTTAGTTTTTTTATTAATGTACATTGGTGTTTTGTCTGCATGTATGTCTGTATGAGGGTGTTAGGTACCCTGGAACTGGAGTTACAGACAGGTGCCAGCTGCCATGTGGGTGCTAAGAATTGAACCTGGATCCTCTGGGAGAAGAGTCAGCTCTTAATCACTGAGTCATCTCTCCAGCCTAATTTGTATTCTTAAATGATACAGAAGTGAAGCTACTAATCCTAAGAGTTATGACAGCGAACTGAAAAATTCCCATGAGTAAGATGACTCTCATTTAGAAGAAAAACTCTCTGCATAAATGAACAAGGCAAAAGACAACTCAACCTTATTTCACAAAACTAAAGCCTTATACTTAGAATCTACTGCATTATGACAGAACATTTAGAAAAATAATAGTGGGGGGAATATTACAACATACATAATACTAATGTATAAAGAGAATGGAATCAAGCAATGCAAAGTAAAGGATAAGAACAATGGTGGTATAGAATTTGTGGGAGTGTCCAACCAAAGACTGGTTCAATTTGAGGCCCACACCACAAAAGGGACACTGCCTGGATGGCCAGAGCTGGACAGCCCAGAGACCTAGGATACAACACACACACACACACACACACACACACACACACACACAGTCAATGAAGTGATTACTAATGATAGTCTGTTATAGTAATAGTTTGGTGCCTAGAACAATTATCATCAGTGAGGTTTCATCTAGCAAATGAGAGGAGCAGATGCGGAACAAGCACTAGACAGATTCAGGGAACCCTATGGAAGAGGGGAAGGAAAGAGGAGCCAGAGGGGTCAAGGAGAACAAGGTCCACAAATAAATTAATCAGGACTCATAGGGGCTCACAGAGACTAAAGAAACAATCAGAGAGCCTGTAAGGGTCTGATCTAGGTCCTCTGTGTGTACATTATGGTTGCATAGCTTTGTGTTCTTGTGTTTCTCCTAAGATTTGGAGTATGGGTGTCTCTGACTCTTTTATGGGATCTTGTGACCCTTTTCCTCCTACTGGTTTGCCTTGTCTGCCTTGACATGAGGGTTTGTGCCTAGTCTTACTGCAACTTGTTATGTAGTGTTCAGTTGATGCCCCTGGGAGGCCTGCTCTTTTCTGAATGGAAAGAGAGGAGGAATGGGTCTGGGGGAGATGATATGTCAGGAATAGGGACTGGGGAGTGTGAAGGTTGGGAAACAATGACTGGAATGTAATATATGAGAGGAGAATTAAAACAACAACAAGAAAAGGAAGAAAGAAAAGAAAAAAACAGTGAACCAAGAAAGAACTTCAAATGAGCAACAAGGTAAGGACAATCCTGCATTTTAAAGACTTTCCTTTAAGAATCATGAATAATGTCATCCTGAGATTGCATTTTAGTAGTGCTACAAATAGAATCATACATAAATATATTCTCCAGTTGCCTAAATAGCCCACCATGAATTCTACCCCCACCACAAATTTCAATACAGAGAGAAGGTCTTGTCTTGTTTAATGTGGCTTGTTATGATTGTAGAAGGTACTGATTTTTTTATTTCAGTTTGCACACAATCAAATGAGACATTTAACAATGTAGCTGTAAAGCTCAGCATGTCTGGAGATGCAGAAATACTTACCATGCTATGAACACCACGAAAATACAGAATCAAAGAGAGGACAGAGTGCCTACCTTCCCTGATGGCCGTGAAAGGCGTTCCCTCTTCCTCCTGAAGTCTGATCACCTTTAGTGCCACCAGCTTCCCGTTTACCCTGCAGGAAACCAAAGAGCAGGTGAACGTGACCGCAGAGCTCTGTGTCTGTGATGCTTCTAATTATGCACCCTAAAATTATGCATAAAGAATGCCAGTGACTCATTGTAAATATTCAGATTGTAAATATGTTTTCAATCAGCTAAGACTGAACTTGATACTTTTGTGATTTAGTCTCTTCCTTCTAGAGAAGCTAGAGTTCAATGAAACCACTTGACAATGATTCTCAGTTGAATTAAAAGCAAAGCAGTGACAGGAGTATGTATTTCCTCTGTTTCTCAAGTTGCATTTTCACTCTACAGTAGGGTTATTTAATCCCAAGGACAGAAACTTGAGACTCACACTCCCTTCATCTCTCACCCACAACATCACTCCCAGATTTTAAAGAAGAGGTTCTGAAAACTATCTTTGATCTGGTTATCTTTTATATTGTGATATATCATCAAAAATGTGATGAATAGGAGGCATAGGAGGCTGGAAAGATGGCTCAGCAGTTAGCACTGGCTGCTCTTCCAGAGGACCAGGGTTCAATTCCCAGCACCCACATGGTGGCTCATAACTGTCTGTAGGTCCAGTTCCAGAGTACCCAACACCTTCACACAGGCATACATGCAGACAAAATACCAATGCACATAAAAATAAAAATAAATAAATCTTAAATTTTATGAATATACTATTACAAGTTACCAATGACATACCCAAAGCAAATGGTTCTTTGAAACACATTCTGCATGTATGTCAGCTCTAGTCAAAGGTAAGATTACACTATGGAAATAGTTTTTTATTCATTCAGCTATTATCAACATCAGAGGCATAACTAAATATTCTAGTCCTCTTCATTGCTTTATTGTCTACTTTTACTAAGCTTGATGGAATATGTTATTTACTTGCCTTGTTTATTAAAATATGTTAAAGGAGATAGTAAATGTAAAAAGTACAGACAATAATTAATGAAAAATAAATGACCCTGACATACTCTTCTTAGTTTCCATCCTCTGAAGCCAACATCGACCACTGTTCAGATATACTCACTTGTCTATATTTATACATAAATTGTATGTGTATACGTTTATATCACATAAATTTGCATATGTATGCATATGTACCTGCAAAGTGCATAAAACATATACAGAAATGTTGACATATGATACATAGTATACTGCATCACCTTGTATAAGTGTACCATAATTCATACTAGTCTTCAACTAATAGTCATCTAGCTTATTCAGTTTTCTGCTACTACAGGGATTTCATGATACCCTTGTATATTTTACCCATATTTTCTTTTTGGTTTTTCAAGACAGGGTTTCTCTGTATTGTTTTGGAGGCTGTCCTGGAATTTGCTCTGTAGACCAGGCTGGCCTCGAACTCACAGAGATCCCTCTGCTTCTGCCTCCCGAGTGCTGGGATTAAAGGCATGCACCACCAACACCCGGCTATTTTACCCATATTTTTAAAGATGTGAATGACAACCCCCCATAAAGGATTTGCAAGGTCAAAGCATATACAACTCAAATTATTATTTCATGAAAATTCAAATTTTATACTATAAACCAGAAATCAATTTACCTTTCATATAGAACAACAACAGTTCCTATTCCTTTCCTGCCTCCTCTATTTTATCAATATTTGGTTTGATGATCTTATCAGTCAACAAGGTTTCTTACTGTAATTCTGACTGCTACCAGAAGTCTTCAGGGTAACCAAAGTGGAGAGCTCATGTGACCCAGAGAATCCTATGTCTGAGTCTGAAATATGAATGTTACTGTCTTTAAAGTAAATAAGTAAACATTAAAGTCACAATATCTAACTTGTTTGCTCAAAACACTGCCCCAGAAGGGAAATCCAGAAGCCAAAGTCCTCATCCCAATCCAACTTCCAGGTGGCATTTCTCCCTGAGCCCAGTGACACTTCACTATCACTGGTGATGGCAATGAGATACCGACATCTTGCTACAAAGCTTTGCCATGTGCCGTCCGCCTCCTGGAAGTCAGAATCATGTGATGCTTTATCTGTATCTCAGCTGGGAAGACAGGCCCAACAATTCACTGCTGGGCAACCTCCTCTCCTGAGTGCATCATCACCTTGACTTTTCCAAGCCTGTTTACGCTCTTGGTACCCAGGTGCAATCATCAACAAATGCCTGCATGTGTGGTTCAGCCAGCTTCACAGCCTGGGATCCTCACTTTGTGACTGAGAACCAAAGGAGCCTTTGGCAGGGATTGAGGCTGCTATGCAGTCAGAGCTGACATCTGCACAGACTTCTCAGCCCAGTTGAGCTCATCAGTGGCTCCCACAGGAGGCAGTAACTGATTCCAGGAACGCCTTGGAATTTTCTCCTCATTTACAGACATTTTCCTCTCACACATAAAACACACACACCACCTTCTTTCCACAAAGCTTTCTACTTCCCTTGAGAAGCACTAAACTGTATATGCCAGGAATTAAATTCTGTAACATGGGATCTCAAGCTTCTAAAGGCCACACACTCAAAACAGGCCCTGGGACCATGCAACAAGACTAGTCCTTAGCACACAGAAAACTTTCCTTGACTTAACAGTTATTCGTGTGGTGGTTTGAATAGGAATGGCCCCCATAGACTCCCATATTTGAAAGCTTATTCACGAGGGAGTGGAACTATTTGAAAGGAGAAGCATCAGGAGGTGTGGCCTTATTGGAATGGGTGTGGCCTTGTTGGGGGAAGTGTGTCACTGGGAGTGGTCTTTCAGATTTCAAAAACTGATACTGGTCCCAGGTAAGCGCCCCCCCCAATCAGACTATAACTCTCAACTACTAGTCCGGTGCCACCATGCCCTCACCATGATGGACTAACTCTGAAACTGTAAGCAAGCCCTAGTTAAATGTTTTCTCTTATGACTTCCCTTGATCATAGTGTCTCTCCACAGCAACAGAACAGTAACCGAGACAGCCAGAATCCCTCTGAGCACTCTCAAAGACCAATCTACATCATTCCATGGCAATAAAAACACTTCCTCTCAATTTACTTTCTACAAACACGAGAGCCAGTTTCGTGGAATTATTCTGCAATTTCCATGAACTGAAACTCCAAGTGTTAAGGTGTCCGTTTGTTTGTTTAAATTTTATTTTGTTTTATGTGCATGAGTGCTTTATCTGCATGAAAGTCTGCTCACCACATCTATGTCTGGTGCCTGAGACTAGAGACAAATGTCAAAGCCTCTGGAACTGGAGCCCCAGATGGATGTGAGCCACAGTGTTGATGCTGGAAATCCAACTCAGTCTTCTGGAAGAGCCAGTGTTGTTAGTGCTCTTAGGATCTGAGTCCACTCTCCAGTCCCAAGCGTTAGTGGATTTTGTGGACTATAATCATTTCACTTGTTTCTGACATTGATATTTTAGATATCATACCACATGAAACAAAAATATCTTTAAAATTTATACATCATAAGCTCCAGAAATAGTATTTCATTCACTGCTGAGTGTCCTGTATCCAGAAGCTTCCTGGAATAGCATATATTTTAAAGAATGAATATGATGCAATTAATTCATGGATACTTTCCCCTTCAATTATGCCAGATATATCTAGAATAAAGTAGAAAACTTACTATTTCAAAAATTTTCAGAGACACAAAAAGTTGTGTAAAACTTCATTGTATAAAACTTCATAATTGGCTTAAGAATTTCTTTATTTCCTTTGTCTTTTGTGCCCCCCCCCCCACTAGAAGGGACGTCTCTCTGATTCTTACGCATGTGGTGACAAGTTTTCACTTTGTGGAAGTTTTAGAATTTGTATATTATTTTACCCTTTTCACAGCCAACAGACTCACTGCAAAATAGTGCTAACCCTTTAATAATGTAAGCCCAGAGTTCTAGTCAGCATCTCTCTCCTCCAAGAGCTTCACTCAGCTTCCACTAGGATTCATATTGATCATCAAACTTCTGTTTAACCTGAGTCACCATGACTCTCTCCTTCCTTATTTAGATTTTCTCCACATGTCTGGACACTCACCAACTGCTGAGTCCTTCAGCTTCAAAGTTCAGTAAAAATGTTAAGTCACATGCTCAACCATTTGAAAAAGAATCTTTAAGAAGAGTAATATTACGAAATTGTCTAATGTTCTAATTTTTGTACATACATATACACAAAACTTTAGTGCTATTATCTGAAGTAAAATTCTGAGGTAGTAGCTATGCATGTATTTCACTTCTTAAGGGTATCAAATTAAGATGCTAGCCCTTAAAAAGCAAAATAAAGAGTCATATTTCTAATTATCCTGTAGTTTGAAACTACTTTATGAAGCTCAAAACAAGCAATTCAAACAGTGATTTAAATAAACACAAAATTCAAATTGAATCAATAAATCAAAGCTGTTTACAGAAAAACACTGAAGATTCTCCTTTTACAAGTCATATTAATTAAATCAAAAGCTAATGAATAAAAGGCAATCAAGATTTGATTGCCAGTGGAAACATTAATTCAGATAAATAACATGATGAGAAAAATATGCTATAACTTGTGTTACTATTGCCTTAGAACATGCTGTGGAGATATTGCCAGTTTAACTTGTGTTACTATTGCCTTAGAACATGCTGTGGAGATAGTGCCAGTTTAACTTGTGTTACTACTGCCTTAGAACATGCTGTGGAGATATTGCCAGTTTAACTTGTGTTACTATTGCCTTAGAACATGCTGTGGAGATATTGCCAGTTTAACTTGTGTTACTATTGCCTTAGAACATGCTGTGGAGATATTGCCAGTTTAACTTGTGTTACTATTGCCTTAGAACATGCTGTGGAGATATTGCCAGTTTTGCCACCAGCTGTTATAAGCTACACAAGGTGCCATTTTCCTTCAGACACAACTGCAATTACCAACATGTGATATACTACCAACATGGCGTCACTGTGAGATACAATCTAAGCCCCAGGATGGGTAACTCGGTGTTCTAGTCTGGACTGTATGTCACAAGGAATGAGTTGTCAAATACAGTGCAAGGTAGAGTTGCATAAATAGGTTTTGGG